GTTGGAACAAGGAATGACAGCAAAAGAGATACACTGGTATAGAGACTACAGCAGCTCTGTAGTGATGATGGACAGAAGGGTGATGGAGGGCAGTGACTGTCTCTTATACACATCTAGATGTGTATAAGAGACAGCTGTATACCAGGCACTGACCTGCGAAAGGTGTTGCCTTGATGCAGGTACGGATGCGCCGAAGACGAAGCTGGAGCGATGGCGCCACAGGTAAGTCGTCAGGTAAGTCCCCTGGGCTCCGCCATAGCCGGGCTGCTCCCTAACCTCCGCTGCAGTAGACTGCAGCTTGAGCTCATGCCGAAATCCTAACGCAGCTCACAGCGCCGGAAGACTACCGCTACCCTATCGTCGACTACACTAATATTGCAGAGTACCTCCACGAACACCTACTCAAACCGAGGCCGACCAGCTATATATCGCGCTGGTTCAGCCTCAGGTAGTGACCTGAGTGAAAAGTCCTTGCGCCTAAACTTGGCGCCCGACGGTACCGTAAAAAGAGTATGGTGCCAAACCTGGCGCCCGAACGGTACCGTGGCCTGGCGCCCAAACGAACAGCGCCCAGGGCCTGTGCCTCCTACTTGGTGCCTAACTGCTGCAGCCCCGAATTGGGGTCTGCGTGACGGGGCCTAACTGGGCCTGGCGCTAACTGAAAGACACGCCCAGGCCTACTACTACTTGGCCTAGACGGACCTACCCCTACTCCTACCGGGTTGGGCCCTGCAAAGGGCCCGTGTGGAATAGAGAATGCCACACACCTCTTGTTGTGTAAACCAAATACCTCCTACCGTGAGACCACAACGTGATCTCCATATGATCCATAACACTGTTCTTCTGAACACATCTAGTGCCCTTCGGTGGTCTGGTGCCTGTTTGAAAATGAGCACACAGGGTGTCGCTCCACTACTCATCATGTGCAGAAAAGAGAAAAAAATATGGCGGTGTATCTTCTCATGTTCTAGTGGAAGATTCATTCTCATTTTGCACATTTGGTGAGTACTGGAGCGAGGCCCATAGTAGCAGCCAATAGTGGAGCGAGGCCAACAGCAGCAGCCCAGCACACGTTTGTTGGAATAGGGCCTCGCTCCACTGCTCACCAAACGTGCAAAACGACAACGAGTCTTCCGCTAGAACACGGGAAGAGTCCTTCGGGACATCCGTTAAAATTGGAACGATATAGAGAAGATTAGCATGGCCTCTGCGCAAGGATGACACGCATAAATCGAGAAATGGTCCAAATTAAAGGAAAAAAAAAAAAAAAAAAAAGAACACGGGAAGATAACACCGCCATGGCATTAAATTGTCTTTTCTGAATGTAGTGAGTCGTGGAGCGAGGCCTATATGAGCACATAGCAGGATGCCATTACACGTCTGTTGACTCTGTTCAGATACGACTGCACAGCAGCTCATCAGGTTCCGGGTGGACGGTCTACCCACCTTTAAAAAGCGGTATGACCAGTCATTCTGGAGGAGCTGTGGATTTAGCTATTTTTAGTCTTTTTTCTTACATGCATAAACCAATTTTTTTTTTTTTTTAATCACTTAAATCATTATAGCTATTTTTAGTCTTCATTTATCGGGTGTTTGTTTTTCTTGGGCACTTGGCTGTTTTAGTTTTTTGAACTTTTTTGAAGTTTTTTGAAGTCTTTTGAAGTTTTTTGAACTTTTTTCAACATTTTTGTGCTTTTTTTGGGTCCTGGGTTGCAACCTCGTATGGCATACTCACACACTAGGACTTTTTCTTCTAAGCTCTGGACGCTGTTGCTGTCACATTCATCCAGCAATGGTCATAATTGCGGCTGGATACATATAGGAAAGGGCCGGTGTCTTACGCCTGCCAGTCGCGAGCGCTGTTTGCCATGTGTTTTTCCTTTCTTTTTCCCTTCTTCTTCTCTCAATTTCACCTCTCACTACCTTCCTACCACTACTCCTAAGCCTATACAGGCAGCTTCTTCCCCCGCTCCGGTCCAGTAGCAACAGTGTCTATGGCCAGCACTCACACACCACACACAACCCCACACATTCACACACACGCGCACCCGTGATGGTCACAGACCCTACCAAATACCGACCATGGTCCGCGGGGAGTAGGCCGACTATCTCAGTTGGTTGGCACTAAGTGTGGCTGGGCGGTCACTGTCTGTGTTCTGTTCTTTTATTTTCTTTTGCGGGGAGCGTGCACGTTGGGCCCGTCCGGGGCAACACAGTATGCCACGCGGGACACAGTGCATCCGGGTCTAATGGTACCATCAAGCCCTCAGGACATCATACACACCATATAACACCACGGACCCCGCATCATACCGTTGCCGTGCCGAGGGCGGGATTGGCACTGGCCGGGGGTCAACTTGTTTTTCCTTTTGTTTTCAACGTCCGTTGAAGTTCTGCGGTCCCGCGGTAGTACTAAGGGAACTAACGGGATGGAGACCTTCTGATGGATTTCGGTTTTCTTCTTTTTTTCCCCTTATTCGGTTCATCGGAGTTGATCACTGATGACTTTGAACTTTGAATCTAATAGCCAGACTGAATGCAGTGATGAGGTTATAAGACCGTTATATATGTTCTTTGGTTATGCCACTTATGTGTGTCCTTCTCTTATCTGTTAATTTTTGGTGGATGACAGGTTCGAGCTCCATTATCAGCTCATTGCATTTGGGAAGGTACGAAGAGAACTTTCAACGTAGGGAAGTAAACAAAAACTGAAATTGAAAAAAAAAAAAAAAAAGGATTGCTAGTATTGCACTTGGACGGAAGATAAATGGTGGCCGTGTTCTGAAAACAAAGAAAATTGTAGAGAAACTGTGTTTGCATCTCTGAGATAAAGTCTTGTTGTTCGGGAACTGAACCGTATTCTCCTCCTTTTCACAATCTCGTTGTATTGGATCTGGTGCTGACAATCTTTTTCTTTTCCTGTCAAGAGTCTAGATCTATGGCATCTCTCTCTCTCTCTCTCTCTCTCTCTCTCTCTCTCTCTCTCTCTCTCTCTCTCTCTCTCTCTCTCTCTCTCTCTCTCTCTCCGCCCTAAGCACACACACAATCAAATTCTTACTATTATAGTATTATTATTATTATTATTATTATTATTATTATTATATTATTATTATTATTATTATTATGACGAGTACTACTAAAATTCATTTCCTTGTTCTTCTTTGAGGCGTATCTATGTTGTTGCCTACTTGCTACGTGGTTTGGGCCTTTCCTGTTGTTGTTTTTTTCCTTTTTTTTTCCCCAGGGAAGTTGAGTACCCTCAAGTTGTGCCAAATTGTCGATGGATGCTTGTATAGCGTGACTGTGACATGGACAAATCGCCAGGGGACTTCCTGAGTCTGATGGGCCGTGAACCAACAGTCTGCTGGGTTTCCATATGATGTGGGCAGGTGATAGTCCACTTTATTCCTTGCTGCGTTACTGGGTGTCTTGCTGTGTTCGTGTCCTGTCCGTCCGCCTGCCCACCCGCTTGCCTTAGTCATCTAGTTCCCTTGTTCCCTTGCTGCTCAGTGTGCTGTGTAACTTCCTTGCCTTGCCTTGCCTGCGTGCTCTGCTCACTCTGCTTGCCTTGTCTAGCTGCCCAGTTGCCTTGCCTACCGTCTTTCCCAGAACATAATGCATATGTGTTGTAAAACGAATACAATGCATACATGTTCTATTCGAACAGCCAGAATCTTTGAATACAACGCATGTGCGTTCCATTTGAGTCATAGTCAATTTAACATGATCAATGAAAACTTGAATACAATGCATATGCGTTATGTTCGGGGGAAGACGGTAGCTGGCAACTTGCCTTGACTTGCCTTGCCTTGTTCCCTTCTAGTGCCATGTTCCCTTGGTTTGCCTTGCCTTGCCTCTCACCCGCTTGCCGTCCTTCACTGCCTTGCTGCCTCGCTGCCCTGCTGCTTACCTTGGCTGGCCTTGCTGCCTCGCTGCCCTGCTGCTTGCGTTTGCTTGCCTTGTTGTCTGGCTACCTTGTTGTGTGTCTGCCTGCTTACCTTGCTGCCTGCCTGCTTACCTTGCTGCCTGCCTCCTTTACTTTGCTATATATGTTGCCTTGTCCATGCTGCACTGCATGCTTTCCTGAGTTCAATTTACTGCATCAGCCTCCTAATGAGTCGGTGCAAGTCCGACGAAACAGTCTACCACTACTCGTGCGTTTTGCTTTTGCGTTTTCTTCCGTGTTGCATGTCTATTTTCATTGATGCATTCATGGTCAGATCGGCCATCACAGGCGCCACTTCAGCACAGGCGTTCTCCATCTTGACCGCCGCCTTCCGGAGAGCACCCTTGTCTGTACATGGACAATATGATCATTGAGGGGAGTCGAGGAGGGTCAAGGAGGATCGAGGAGGGTCGAGGAGGGTCGAGGAGGGTCGAGGAGGGTCGAGGAGGGTCGAGAGATGAGGGTAAAGGGGGGGTCGAGGAGGGACGAGGAGGGACGAGGGTCGAGGAGGGTCGAGGAGGGTCGAGGAGGGCCAAGTGGGGTCGAGGATGGCCAAGTGGGGTCAAGGAGGGTCGAGAAGGATTGAGAGATGAGGGTGAAGGGTTGAGGAGGTTTGAGGGTTGATGGATGACGGTCGAGGGTTGAGCATCAAGGGATGAAGCATGAGGGCTAACAGTTCAAGCCGGACAGCTGAGGGCTGAGGATGAGGGGTCAGGATTGCGGGTCAACGCTTAACCCTGTGTTGACGGTGGTCGGTCTTCTTCACGGTCACCCTCAATGCTTCACGGCCAACCCCTGCTGGTGTTAAACGACCATTGCTTTCTACCTGTCGTGGCGGGAGTATCCGGGTGCGGAGGGTGAATGGATCGAACCATGCGCAGGGTGTCTGATAGATCCACCCAAAGTGCAGCCCCCTAGTATACCGACACATCTGCAGGGATGATCGTCGGGCAGTGGCGGTTTTAATACTGCATGAAGGTTCATTTTGTCTACCATCCTGTCCTGTGGCTTATCTTCAAACCTTCCGCAGCCTGCCTTGGTCTGTTTGTAATGTCCACTGTACCAAGGACCTCAGCATTGACCTGCCATGAACCTGGTTCTTTGACCCTCCGTTGATTTTGACTAAGTGAGATTCTTGACGGTCTCAAAGTGGTTAACATATCCAAACTTTAAAAGAATGAAAGACACAGGTTGTTTGCACTGTTTGCCACATTTTCTGTCCATTTGTCTCTCCGTTGACTTTTACTTTGTGAGACTCTTGACTGTCTCAAAGGCGTTCAGACTTGCCGCCTAATCAACATACACCCCAAAGAAAGACGATGGCTGGCCTTCCCCTACTAGTTTCGGTCATCACCAGGCAAGTTTTCCCCAGCCGGGCAAGTTTGCCCAGGCCACTCTGGTAGCCAGGCAAGTTCCCCCAGGGTCAATTCAAAACTCGTTACCATTTTTTTTTTTTTAAATCACTTTTTTTTTTAAGTTTTTTTTTCATTTTTTAATTTTTTTTTCAGTTTATTTTGTTCCGGCCGGGCTAGTTTGCCCAGGCCACTCTGCTAGCCTAGCCTGATGCCGACAATATGCCTTTTGAAGTTTTGATACTGACACCAGTCTGTCGTCCGGATTGCAGATCTTCTGCACCAAGAAGGATCCCAACTGCTACCAGTGCCCATTAAGAGATGAATGCAGCCATTTCAAGAGCCATCAAGATGAGGCTAAAAGGTGGGTGGTGGCGATTACTAAACACTAGTGTTGTTTTCATTTCACTCTTATGTATCTGGAAACTCCGAAAGGCCGCACTTGTAGGTACAGCGGAGACCAACCCCCCCCTCCCCCCCCAACTTACCCCAACCCCCTGCCAAAATACCAACAATGGCATATATAGATTTCTGCTGGTCAAGAAAAAGAGGCGTCTGCTTCTTGCACCGATTGGTTGGCCATCCCACTAGGTTTAGTTCCTGATCGTCTTATTATTATGTGTCTAAAGACGGCATGGTGAGGTCAGTTGTTGTTGCTTCTGTTGCTACATGTGTTTTGATCATAAGTGTAGTAAAAAGTTGTTGGGAAAAACTCAATCCACCTTGAGAAACTAGGTCGGGAGAGAATGCTACATACCAGCAGCATACCATCAGCGTGTTCTGCCATGTGTATTCTTCCCTTGCCTTTTTTTCCTCTCTCTTAATGTCTGTGTTTGTGTGTTTCAGTTCTTTGGGTGATTTTTGGGGAACAATTGGAGTGCGTTAAAAAGACAGCAAAGAGGGTCTGTCTCCCAACTTAACTCTACTCAATGGATCCCCAACTGAGAAGCAATAAGGACAGGGTGGGGGGTGGGATAGGGGGAGGAGAGAGCGAGAGACACGCACACACGCACACACGCACACACAGACACACACACACACACCTGTCTCTTATACACATCTAGATGTGTATAAGAGACAGTTTCAGGGGTTTCTGCAGAAAGTGCATAACGAGCATGGAAAACTGGATCTGGAGTGGTTGCGCTTCTTGACTGAGGAGAAGGCATTGTGAGTACATCACAGATCGTGCACCACTCTTTAAGCTTCTGCCACTGAGATACACCTAACTCAATTCTTATTATTGTGCGATTAAAGGAAATCAGAAACCATTTTATTGAGGACAAAAAAAAAGAAAAGAATTCATCGTGCTTGAAACTTGAAAATGATTTCTTTCAAATTTCTAAAGGATGATTATTCTTAACCTTATTATGCACGGAGAGAGAGAGAGAGAGAGAGAGAGAGAGAGAGAGAGAGAGAGAGAGAGAGAGAGAGAGAGAGAGAGAGAGAGAGAGAGAGAGAGTTTCTACACAAGAAGCTAACGTCCTTTACAAATTCATGCCAGCTGTAATTTTGTCAATTTTAGTCTGTGAACTTTGTCTGTTGATGATCTGATAGTCAGAATCTTTTTTTCTTTTTTTTTTCCACAGGGCTACGACCTTGAAATATCATCATTTGAACTGACCGGGCCCTACAGTAGGTAATTCAGAATCGCAGTGTTTGTTTGTTTGTTTGTTTGTTTGTTTGTTTTTTT